ATGTACTGAGTATGCCAATCCGCCACGTAACTCGACATGCAATGGTAGAGGAAGTTGGGTCATACTGTGAAAGAGTTCATAGGGACCAGACCACAACGTGGTACCCATGAATGAAGTCCCCAACTGTCAGTCTGAGTCGTATGGGGAGATGCTGACTACCTGGTTGTTGTCCTCGACTGGAATCAATGGTTGAAAACTCTTGATGACATAATTGGAAATCAGTAACAGTGGCGCATATGCATTCAGTCTTTGGCATCTTGTAAAGCCTCAACATTTGCACTAGCTGTTATCTTCAGGTTGTTTATTTTCTCTTCCAACTTTGGCTACTTTGACATCACTCTTTTTCTATCTACCTGTTCTTTGTATATCACTTTGAACTGTGGCAACTTCAGCCGATGTCGCTGTGTGAGACGTTCTACGGGGATTTTGTCAGTCATCATCCTGATGGTGAGCGAACTCAGGATCCTAGGGTCTCAGAGTGAACACCTTAAATGCTGGGCCACTGAATCAGAGCATAATGACTCCCATGTTCCTACCGCTGTAAATTCGTGATATAGTCGGACTTTATGTCATGGTCTTCAGTTGACATTGGTTCCACTTTCGGCTGGTTGACTTTACAAGTCATGGCTTCTCGCTAGAACTTTAAGATATACGTCTAGAATGATTTCGCTAATAAGCACTATGCAGTAATGTAGTTTGACGCTTATGGTGGCTTTATACAAAGGTGGTACTACTCGTGAAGTGATAACAACTGGTACTCCTCATGAACTAACATCAGCTGGTACAGCTATCTACATGCTATAGCAATGTGTAATCCCAATGAAGTTGAACTTTTACTAATGACTGTTGATCTCTGATCCTGAGTCCTACTAATAGTGATTTAGGAAATAGAATTAATTTAGAGAGGAGATAGTTAAGGGTATAGCATACTGTTGGCAGTCAGTTTAAATTTTGGGCTGCCAAAACTCTTTTCTGTCTAATATAATTTATAAACTTTAGGATTAAAGTTTGACCTGACAGAATTGAATAAGTTAAGCATTAGGTGAATAGATTATAATGAAATATATTTGTAAAAACTACAATGAGATAGAAAAACAGATTTCTGACTTCTCTTGACCTCACGACAGCCGCTTATTCACAAAATAGAACCTGTAGAAGTTATCGACTGTTTAAATAGTAAATGATGATAAATCAGATCACGTTATTCATACATCACAATAATATAGACATAAATGTCTTTGTTATGTTGGTTAGGTTATGTTCAAACTTGCTTTGTCATCAGTTAATAGGAATGACTTTAGGAGTGTATTTGATGGCCGCGTTAGCAACTGCTAAGATAACCAATTAGGCTTCGATATTTTAAAGGCTACTATTTTATTAAGACCTGTCTTTTCAGACGAAATGATGAAACTTAATTGGTTATGTCGATCATTCCTAGGGTGATTTTAGAGGCCATCCTAGCCCCAACTGGGATAACCCCAGTTGCACTTCTTTATTTTATGAGAAACCTGCTTTCCAACCAGAATACTAAAATCTGACTCATTATTTCAGCAGTTGTTAGTTACAATAACTAAAAAACAAACACTGGTAATATCGAGTGATCTGTACAGGCGTTCACTTGCCAATAAAGACCGATCAATTCGGTCCAGTCAACAAGCAGTTATACCAATATTACGTTCGAACAAGTTTTAGTCATTCAAGTTTCAAAACATTGTGTATTTTAAAAATATCTTCAACCTATAGTATCGTAGGTCAACAACATAATTACGCAAAACACATCAAAATAGGTGCCAATAGTATCACTGAACAGACAGTAGTCCAATATAGAAACTGTCACAGAAATAGTTAGCTGGAACAGTAGAAATTCCTACTAGTTGAATGAATTTTAACTACTGAAAGTATGGATGGCTTCCCATTCGACCTCCTTTTGTAAAACAAAGTCCTGTGAAACTGGACTGAATCCTACCAACCGATAGCTGCTACTTTGACATGGTAGTCGGGCTTGTATATCACAACAACCCAGTGAATTATACTGAAAGAATGCTTGTCTGCTTAAGATCCTACATTACCAGAAATGCCTGTTGGATAGTGGCTAGACAAAAAGCAGTTACCGTTATAGCGTAAATTGCTACGCTATGATAGGGCTTTGATGGTGAAGTCGTACTACTGCTGGCTGGGTGATGTTTGACAGCAGTAAGATGTTTCACTTGGATGTTCCCAGTGCCACGCCGATGCTGCCTTCCCTATGGGAAGGGGCTTGGAAAGGGTTAGTATCAGAAATAGCATATTCCCACCCCTTGCAGCATACCGATGCCTGCAAGAGGGATTATAGTCAGATTCAAGGGCAAAGAACCAAAATCTAAAAAACATCAAAAGGCCATTTGTGACCGGCCTCAAATAGATGTCCGTTAGGCTCTGTGCTAAAATACTATTCCTTCTTTTTCAGATGCTTCAAGAAGAACCAAGGTTCCACGGTGTGGACGGCAGAGAAGTCTTAACCGCTGGTTCCTCTCTTGTAGTACACAACACGACAACTTAATAACAGCTAGTCGTTTTATATCATTACTTATTATTATTAACATCACTTAGATACTATAGCTATTTCATTTGAATACATTGTACTAGGAGTAAATTCGTTGAAATATTACACACTGAGATATGCATATTGTATAAGTGATTATTATTGTTATTACTTGGATTTTGGAAATAAATCCTATTCAACGCAAACAGATTGTATTCTAATATTAGTATGAATCATTACTACTAGATATTGTTTCAGTAGATATCCAAAACACTTTCATATTATCTTATTTCATTATTTTATAGAAGCAATCTTGTGAGGAGTAGGCAGCGAGAAGAGGGGGATACTCTGGCTGGACTGCGGAAAAGAACCTAGAAGATGTGGATTTCGACGATGACTTGTGCCTGATGTCACACAAACTTGAAGATCTACAGGCAAAAACTAACAAGTTGATAGAAGATGCAGGGCAGCGAAGACGGGACTTCAAGTGAATATAGAGAAGACAGAAGTGATGAAGATACCGCACCAACACCAACAACAACAACCAACTCCAATCACCATCAACGGGAGAAACTTAAAGGAAGTAACCTCCTTCACCTATCTAGGAAGCACTATTTCAACTGCAGGCAGCACAGGCACAGACGAGGATGTCAAAGTCAGAATCGTAAAAGCAAGACAGGCGTTCATTACCCTGAAATCAGTGTGGAGATCTTCTGCACTCCACTCAGCATGCGGAACAACATCCGGATTTTCAACACCAACGTCATTCAAGTCAGTGCTTCTGTATGGTTGAGAGACTTGGCGTGTCACGAAAGGGATTTCCAATAAACTACACACATTCATCAACAAATGCTTACGCTACTGAAGATCAGATGGATTGCCAGAATAACAAGAATAAGCAACAAGGAGCTCTGGGAACGAACCAACCAAGAACCTATCACCCAACAAATATGCAGGAGGAAGTTGAGATGGATTGGAGTGGGCATACACTGAGAAGGCCGACTGGAGACATCGCGCGTCAGGCCAGTTGCTCGAGTGGAATCCCCATGGGAAGCGACGAGTTGGGCGCTGGTGTCGAGGGTGACATGGAGGAGGTCGTGCGAGGAGGAAATGAGAGCTTGTGGGCTGTCGTAGAACCAGGTTCAAAATATTTCAGAGAACAGAGTTCACTGGAGACGTGCTACTGAAGCCCTATGTTCCACTAGGAACCCAAGGGACTAATAATAATAAAAAAATAATCTTGTGAGGAATAAAAAAAGTGATAAATAGAAAAGATGTTTCTGTGTAAGTAATATTATAAAAAATTTTGCTTCAAATCGGTTCTATCATCATGAACGTAACTGTAATTTCAGCTTACAAAAGATCTTAGTTAAAAAAACAAAACAAATAATGAAAAATGCTTTTTTGAGATGAATGAGGATTTTTAATTTAAAAGTAGTATTCATCATGGACTGACATTAGTTGGGGAACCATTGTAAAACTGGGAGCACTGGACAGCTGTTTCGTTCTAGAATGGGTCTCCTCAGCAGTACGCAACCATGACCCAGCTAGGGGTCGAACTCGCGACCTTCAGGTTTCACAGCGAACGCGTTAACCATTCAAGAGTCCCATACTAGGACGAAACAGCTGTCTAGTGTTCCCAGATTTTCAATGGTTCCCCAACTGATGTCAGTCCATGATGAATACTACTTGTAAAAATGCTTTTTGTTATCATTCGAATAACTAGATAGCTTTATGAGGAAAATGATAGAGATAACTGTACTCAGTTTCTAGGACTTATTAAAATGGTATTCATTCATGAAAAAATCGATCATAATAACCATTGTCAATATTCTTACCATTATTCTAGAAATACCCTATTGTAATATTTCTCTGGATATAGACCATTCTAGAAATGGATCATACATGAATTTTGTTCACAAAGGATAGCATAATACCCATGCGGTTATTTTTTATACCTGTTTGTAGTTTCTGTTACCCTGGAGTTGAATCATTAAAAAAGTAACTACTTACATACATTGAAATTATTGTATGTATCACATACATGGATCTCTATAGAGTAGACGGTTATGGAGCGATTTTCAAACATTATATCAAACTATATAGCTTAATAAAACTAATAACTTTACAAAAGAAGTGGATATGATGATAACTGAGTAGATTTAGAAGGAAATGTATAAGTATTATCCCCACCTTTTTCATGAATACAACTAAAATTCACATGAAAAACGTTCTGATAAGTATCAGGTAACTTTCATCTAACTTTCCTTTTATTCTTATGTTTGTTAAAGTCATTTGAAACTCATATTACTCAACTAAGCAATATCCGTATGAATTAAAGGTTATAAGTTGACGGTTGCTTAGAAAGTAGTTACTATTTTGTTGTTAAGACTGATGGTATGTGACGAATATAATATACCATTCAGCTTTCTCAAAGGTGATCAACTCAAATCTTACAATATTTTTAAAATCAACTTACTTTCTCAATCTGAACACCAGTTTTTTGTAGGTTATCTTCAAATGTTTTTCGATAAGTGGTGTTGATCTTTTTCACTTTACTAGTTGTACCTTCATTGATTGGTTCATCCCAAACCAAAACATAATCTAAATAAAATAAAAGGTAGAATTATGATTTAATCAAGGGAAGAAGTTCAACTAGTATTAGTACTATAAAGTTGTTTAAACAGAATGGTTTTCATCATGAAGTAATATCAGTTAGAAAAACATTGGAAACCTGAGAGCACTCTTCAGCAGTGCACACTCACGACCCCGCCATGGATAGAAACCACGATTTTCAGGTTCCCTCAACATTACTTTACCATTGAGCCGCTGCGTCGGAATCCAGTGGTCCATATTACCTACTTCTGTCAGTTCATGACATAGTGCTACCGCCAGCCAATGTCGTCGTCGAGTATTTGTCCTTATGGCCACCAAGATTTTCCCTCTGGTCACGACTCCTCATTGGCACTTCAAGAACCACTTCTCAAAGCTAGTCACCAATGAGCACTAGACCAACTGAATTTGAGGGTTTGTGGGGATTTAGATATATTTTAAGCCGGCTTTTATCATGGACTGACATCAATTGGAGGAACATTTGAAACCTTGGAGCGTTACATCAAAATTCGAAGACAAATGCCATCAAGTACGAATCCCTCAAAAAGAACTCCCTTCTTTTCTGTATCTTCGATGTATTGTCAGCTTGAATTATAGGCACGAGAGTTAAGCGCGAATATACAATGTTCATTTATATATATATATATATATATATATATTCTAAGTTGTGAAAGGATAACTGAGTTTAGAGAATTGATAAACTCTCTATCATTTTAGCTTTCTGCTTATAAGCACTCATCGATAATGTATATTTTCAAAGATGAGAGAACTCAAACTTAGATACACATAAGCGTTCAAATCTGTAGACATGAGTTATTTTACTCATTCAGTGGAATTCATTAAAAGTCTGGTAATAATATTGATGACTAGCAGAGGAATACAGAACGCACGTTTCTTCTTATTCGAGACTCGTCAGCTGGATGTACCTACACCCATTGCGGAGTGGTGTTGTTTCCACTGCTCCTCGAACTCATTACCCTTGGCTTCAAAAGCTAGAGCACTATGCACTTAGTCACTGGGACACGATAGACACCTCTTGTGCAATGATTATCAGTTGGTGTAATGATACTTGTAATGATAAGTGATAAGTTTACCAAGCGATATTAAAATCTAAGGATCTTCAGTATCGCCTCTCTTTGGATAGTGTGACTGAGATGTAGTCAGGTAAATAAATCTCTTCTTTTCCTTAAAATAAATTAAACTTTTTTCATCAATGGAACAATGAATTCTTATCTATTGCCTAAAAACTCATTTCATCGCTACACAAATTTATTTCAAGCAAACACGATAACTTAGTCAAAGTAACTTAAAAAAGCAATTTTGTTTTCCAGCAGTCTTAAAAGGTTACTCCAAATTACGCTAATTTGTTAATCAGTATATTGTAGTATCATCTTGCTATGGAATTATGCGCACATTTATAATCCGTACCTTTTCAGTTATCACAATAACTGATTTTATACCATCTGATGAAAACCCAAAAACTCTTAAGTATCCAAGTAATACGCTTAAATTTTCCGATTAAAACTTAAATAAAGTTAGGTTTAATGAAAACACCTACAAGCACAAGCATAGATCAGTGCTTTCCAAAAATTTATTCCCATAATATGGCTGGTTGTTGATGACCTCATTAAGTTGTGATTGACAGTAGCTACCCTTATTCGCTAGTAGAGATCGATAGCTGCGGTAACTTACTTCAGTTTAATACTGCTAGATTTAGGTTGAACCATGTATGAAAAGTTAGCTAGAGTAAAGTAAAGCTGAAAGAATTTATTATCATAATTTAAGTAATACAAACAGTGATCTGGATATGATATTGAATTTATACTTTGGACTGTTGTAGGATGGGATGGCCATCATTTATATATATACTTCTTTCCAACTTTGAAAGTGAGGCTAAAAGGAAATTTGGAGGGAAAGTTCTGTTAAACCCTCATCTTAATCGTTTCAAGCTCATCTACGGGGTTCCAAAGGAGTCATTATCCCTATTAGTGATGGATAGTGGCTAACATTGGAATCCGAGGTATGCGCCTTCTCCTGTTTCAGACTCATCAACCGGATGTACCTGCCTCTCAGTGAGTGATGTTGTCCCCACCGGGATTTGAACTCGGGACCGGTCGCTTCAAACGTCAGACCGTTATCCACTAAACCACCAAGACACAATAGCCACTTCTTGTGGGACGGGTATAGTTTTAGTGTTGTTGTTTATATTATCCCGTCGTTGATGGGGAACAATATCACTCACTGGGAGGTAGGTACATCCAGCTGAAGAGTCCCAAGCAGGATGAGAGGCGCCTCCTGAATTCCTCTACTAGCCACTATCCATCATTAATATATTTAATTAAAAACATAAGCGATATCGAGACATCCACGCAGGAGTCTATATGCCAATAGAGACCGATCAGTTCGGTCCAATCAACGACGGCATAATACATGTAATAACACTCAATCATTGTCTCATTTGTGACCAGTATTAAGTGAATTTTCCTTAGACTTTGCATTTATACGGAACTGATTCACTTTCCTGTTTAGGCAATCTAAGAAGGCTGAACGTGTTTCTTGAAATTTTTTTTACTCTGTGAGCGCCGATCACTGGTTAATTCGTAGAAAGGTCATTTCAGTTTCCTTAAATATGAATTCACAAGTACAGGAAGAAGCTTTCGGCGTTCAAATAATGTGTAGAATTTAAAAACCTTTCAAATAAAAACCGGTCTCTTGGGTCATGGCAACATGTTGCGTTTCTACCGTACATCTTTAATGTATCCATTCAATTAAACCCCATCTAGCTGATGCAATAAATTGTCACAGTGAATTGTTTTCCAAGCCACAGCTTTAGTCGGCAAACGTTTTGATGTTAAGCTAGGAGTGAAAATCATAGCATCAGCGTTTCGCAGTCAAAGAGCTCAAGGTAAATAAGAGATTATTCGGAAAAATCTTTGAATGAAGTACAAACTATCTAGATAGATAAATGGAAAATGAGATCAAATGAACATATATTGCTAAAATTCGATAGAAGACTAAAGATTCACAAACCGGATGTATCTCTTCGGTTTACTGTTTCGCTTTCAAGCACCCCAACATACAACTTAGCAAAGTATTGAGCCATCTTATCAATAAATCAGCCAACTTAACTTGGAAACTCAGTTCTTGAGCAAGGTTAATGACATCAAAGTTTGTCAAGAACGAAACAGTGATATCTTTCAATATCAAGGCTGTTTTTACATCAATGGATCAGAAGTTTGCCTGCTTCAAAATGTTATGAATCTGCAAGATTACCAGAATTAATAAATCTAACAGATCTATGCTTACCCATATACACTCATTTTAATGAGATGTATATGAACAAATGAGAAGAATTTCAATTGGATCACCAATCTTAGAGATCAGTCGAGAAGTAGTACCACACTTATATACCAAAATAATGAAGGATATATATGCAGGACACATCTATCATCCTTTATAAAGACAACAGTGAGTTGACTTAAAAACTAATCAATCATGTTTTAGTCTGTTTATTAGAAATATAACACAGTGAGGGGACAGTAGCATTTACTGGATAACAATGTTTCGGACATAATTTATTGTCCATATTGATATCAGGTAACCAAACTCCACAACTTCGAGACAGTCTTTATATATTCCTACTTCTCTCTCCTTCTCTGTGATGATAAGGGTAGTAGAATTTTCCATATATCTGGGATAGGTGCAGAATCATTTCGATTGCTGCATGTATTTGGTGTTGATTCGATAAACAAGGAATGGGTTATCAATCTCTCCCTCCACCAAACTAAGTTAGTTTTCAACACTGTCGCTCCATCCCATCCTATTGTGTGATAGTGTGTCATCGCATGCAGAGCTATAGCCGAGTTTTTCTGTAGATTTCTTATCTTATTAGGATCTACCAATCTGGATTTAGCTAAGTTTTTGTGCTCTGTTATTCTAATCCACCCTGGTAGAGGTGAAGTACATAGGTCAGAGCAGTCTATCAGGGTGGATTAGAATAACAGAGCACAAAAACTTAGCTAAATCCAGATTGGTAGATCCTAATAAGATAAGAAATCTACAGAAAAACTCGGCTATAGCTCTGCATGCGATGACACACTATCACACAATAGGATGGGATGGAGCGACAGTGTTGAAAACTAACTTAGTTTGGTGGAGGGAGAGATTGATAACCCATTCCTTGTTTATCGAATCAACACCAAATACATGCAGCAATCGAAATGATTCTGCACCTATCCCAGATATATGGAAAATTCTACTACCCTTATCATCACAGAGAAGGAGAGAGAAGTAGGAATATATAAAGACTGTCTCGAAGTTGTGGAGTTTGGTTACCTGATATCAATATGGACAATAAATTATGTCCGAAACATTGTTATCCAGTAAATGCTACTGTCCCCTCACTGTGTTATATTTCTAATAAACAGACAAAAATGGAATTACAATCGACCACACTTCGCAAGTTTTACTCTTATATTAATCAGTCATGCCTTCAAAGGAATTTAATTCACAAAAGAAGACCGAATAATTGGCATTCTTAAATATTTTGGTTACAAAACATTGAATAAAGATATTTTTAAAATTCAGTGTTCAGGAAAACAACTCCCACAAGAAATGCTGTTCAACAGGTCTATTTAGATGGCTATACATATATTGCAACGCAATAAAATATGAGAGAGAAAAATGTTTTTGTTAATAAAATTTCAACTGAAGAGCTGTTCAAAGAATTTCATCAAGAGATGTTTTCTCAAAGCAACATAATCAAAACCTATTGTAAAAATTATCAAAAGAACCGTCTTCTCATGGATGAAGAAAACCTTATAATAATTTTTAATAATAATAACAATAACTTTGTTCTGAAAGTATTTCCGGAATACTGTACAGGATTTACTCTACCTACAACTTTCTTGAGTATCTAGAGTCAAGAATAACATAAGCGAGTAGATTAATAATACTTAAATAACAGCAAGCTGAGTAATCTTTAAATGGTT